CAAAGTTGGAAGAAATGAAGTGTTGCAACTTTTCGAAAGGTACAGGTTTTGGCCAAGTGTTGCAACTTTTTTGAAAGGATGCATGTTTTGGCCCACACTACTTTATTTGCACCCTTTCTACATCTATAAATAGAACCCTATGGACATGATTTTGGGTACACCAATTGCATTGAGCATTCATTATTCTCTTACAATTCACTTTTTTCTAATTCTATAGCATTTCATACATTTCCTTTGTAGAGGGGAAATTCTGTCAAAAATTCGTCGGTTTCTTGCGGTTTGAAGTGCTGCTACCACAAGTTGTGAATCCATTGTATCTTGGGAGACAAGTGTCATTCACCGTGAGCACCGTATCGGGGCAATTTGTCTTAAGGAAAGAGATAACATCTCGCTTTGGATTATTCTCTATTTCTACTCCTTCTTAATCCTTGTTTTGCATAATCTTTATACCGAAACTCTGTCCAAATTTTCATTCATATAAATTGTGTTTTGATCACGCTCTTGCGGGTTAAAACTGGTCAAACAAATATATCAAAAACCAATCCTTACATAACCCTTTTTATAAGTTGTCTCCAACAAGTTTTCATTCGCAGCAAAAGGAGATACACTTGAAGTTAGTCAATCATTCCGTTAGCTTACATAAAAGTGTAGGCAGTAATCTATGTATTCTTATTTCGTATTGATCATCCGATACTATAAGAGTGGAAGGGATTATGATATAATCGTGATGAGACATTTTAAAAGTGGTGCTGCCAGAAGAGTAGCAGCAACAGCCAGCATTCCCATTATTAATGCCGAAGATGGCCCTGGATAGCATCCACCTCAGGTCTAAACCTCTTTTTGAGGATTATTGTTATTATTTCCAAATCCTTCAAATAAATTTCATGACTCTTTTTTGATTCATCTGCATATAACTTTTTATGTATTCATATACACTTTTAAAAAGAAGCATCCACTATAAGAGTTGTGTGTGGTATAAGTCAAATATGAGTTTTCTAGATACTATTCATATAATATCTTCGTATAATATCTACAAAATCATTATTCAATGCAGCATATGCAGTAGCTTGATTGAATAGTTTGGTGACTTGGTTCCTATAGTTGTGCTGTTCATTGAAAGGGCATGAGACATCATTATAAACTCAGATTTAGGTGGAAACTTAAATTTTCACCAATTAAAATTTTGTTAGTCGATTTTTCATCATATATGTATATATGTGTGTGTGTGTATTTGCAATTTTAATCTTTGAGTAACTTTAGTCTTTTTACAAGGCGTGAAGCATGTAAGTTTGATTTTTACTCATTGATATGGAATTTTTACTTTTAGCCCCTAACGAGTTTTGTAATAGTGAATTTTTGGAAAATGTGTGGTTAAAAAGTAGGAAAAATCTTGGGTTTACATGCAAAATATTTTATAATGTATGATTCAAAATGAGTTTGAGAAAAAAGAGCTTTGAAATAATGTAGACAAACAATGGCTTAATAACTTATATTTACTTCTTTGTTGACCTCTGTTAAGGTGTTCTATCAAGCATTAGATCTTAAGATGAAATGTGAATTTGAGGAGTCATTTTTTTTATATTGCACCTCGTTTCTTTTGGGCGAGGGCATGAAGCGAGGGCATGAGATTGGTTTTATTGCTATCGACAACTTCTCTATTCGAACTCTTCATGATTCAAACGTGAAACTAAAGTAAACTGTAAATTCAAATAGGGTTTTCTTTATTTTGCACCTTTAGGTTGGGGATAATATCTATTAGCCTAATTGTAAGAGACCCAAAAATGGAATTTAGCACAACCACAAAGAAGTACCTAATAAAGCAAAAAGGCCATATAACAAATGTGTATGCATAGTGTGTTGGAAAATAACACCCATATTGTGCATATCATATTCACAAAACATGTCATTTATGTTTACGAAATCTAAACGCAATTTCGTCTTACTGAAATTGATTTGGGAAGATGAAACGACAGATTCAATCATTTCCTTTCTTTATTTCAAACCTACATGAAATCAAAAGAATGTTATTAATTTTTTAAAATCAAATACGAAGAAAGAAATCAGAAAGAATCAAGATGAGATGTGAGTGATGCAATCGGCCGAGGCAAGTGTTAGACACTTTGTCCTTAAGATGAATTTGCTCCGCATTGGTGTTAACGATTTTTTGGCAATTATCTCCCAAAATACAACAACCACGTCAAGCCATAGGAGCACTCCAAATGACTTCGATCAATGAACTCGAATGGAGTTTCCTTTCTATCATAACCATGAATTTGATGCAAGTGTTTTATGCAAACTAAAGTGTATGCATGGAATGGAATGATATGGAACTATCTATTCACTTTCATGAATTTCTTGAATTATAAAATTCAAACACATGGGGCCTATATATAGTAGTTGAAAATGTATGTTAAAAGACACAACCATACCAAGAGTCACATCTCTTGGAATTCATAATTATTGGAAAATGATTATGCCAAAGGTCATGACCGTTCATATGAAAATATATCTTTTCATCCAACTCTTTTCTAAAATATTCCACAATATTCTATACAATTTTCCAAAAATTTCAAGTATTAAGCGGCTTACATTTGGCTTAATTTCTCATTCACCAAATTAAGAATTCCACTTAATCATGTAAAATTGGTCACAACCAATTTTCGATACAAAATTCCAACATAGTGAACTATTCATTTTATTCTATTTCATTTCACCTTTGTTTGTACATTGTAAAAGGCTCTGTTGGATGTGTACACCATTGAAAAAGAGATCAGAAAACTTGATGGCGTCAAAGTTGGACTTGATTGAGATCTTGCTTATGGAAGGATAGTACACTCACTTGCCTATCCGCTTTCCAATTATGAGGATGTTAAAATTTACTTTGTGTCTCCTGATGCGGTAAAAATGAAGGTATGCAAGATAGTGAACTTGTTCTGCAGTTTAGAAGCACATGGATAACTCCATGTTAATAAACTTACTTTGTATAACTAACAAAGCATTGAATGCAAGCAGGGCCGGCCCTTGGGCCAAGCCACCTAGGACCTCCAAATTTTGGCTTGGGCTCAAGGCCTCAAAATTCATATTAGTCCCAATTCCCAAAATAAAATAAAAAATGGTTTGGGGCCTTTGAGCTTGGAGTCTTGGACCAATGGAATTAATTTTCTTTGGAGACTTGGAGTCTATAACATACATAACGAACCACCCCAGCTGGCTTTATCTTTTCAATTCGACATTTTGGACTTCCTCTAATCCTTTCAAGTCTCAATCCTCTGCTTCGGTGAATCCAGAATTCTCCAGGGCCTCCACTCCAGGCTTCCAAGTTCCAGACTTTCGGGCTTCCAGGGACTAGCGCCAACGGACGAAAAATTGAAATCTAATGCGAAAAAATTTCTCCGCCTCCCGTAGATTCGCACGTCGGATTCCTTTTTTATATCTTATCAGGTCCTTTGTTTTGGTAAGTAAAATGGATGTTCATATATCTGAATTTCTGATTATTAATCCTCTAGGCTATGGTGGTAGTTTCAAGTTTGTTCAAAGCCTCAATGGTGATTGGTGAAACTGTGAAAAAGGGATGAAAAATAGTTTTTTTTATTTTATTTGTTTTGCTCTTAATAATTAGTTCTATGATGCTATTAGTGTTTTAAATTTAATTAATTCCCAAATTTTGTTGTAGAACTTTATATAGGAATGATTGTATTGATATTGATTGTTACAATTTTCCAAGTTAATTCTCATTTTATTCACTTCGTTCTTGTCTTTGTTTCTAGTTTGGAAGTTGGAACTCCTAGTTTTTAACTAATTTTAAGTTTCAATGATATAATTTCAGGGCCTGTTTTGAGGTAGATATTTTGAGAATAGATTTTGCAAAATAAATTTATTTGGTTATTTCTTATTGGGAAATTGTCTGGTTAAAATGAGTTCAGGGAAAAATTTGTTTTATAGAATCTGACCATAAAGGGACTCAACTTATTCCTTGGTTCTTCATCGTCCTTGAATTGTAAGGCATTTTCTGATGACTGATGGTTCACTTATTATTCATGTTTGGTGAATAAATTTATCCAATTTTCGCCCCTAGCTCTGCCATATTGTTATTCGATAGTAAAGTATCTTAATCAAAATTACTCTATTAGTTTGTGTTATTAGTAAATGCCATTCGCCATTCGGAATATTCTAAGTAAATATCGTTGGGGATATTTGTATCATTTTCCATTTCGAAAAATATCTCTCAAAACAAGAGTTTTTTAATTAGAACCTAACAAGGTGTTTTTAATTTATTCTTGCAGGTTGATTGTTGAACTCCTACACTTGGCATATTTGAGAATCTGGGATATTTTTAATTAGAACTCTGAATCAGGTTCTACCGTTATTTGCTTTAATTATGTCCACTAGAAAATTTGAATATGGATATTCTAAAAGAAAACGGCATAAGAAGGTTAAACAATTGATTAAATTTCAAAAGGGAGCCCTTGATAAATTTTTTAGTGGTAGTAAACAAAAACATAATGATGATGTAATTCCTGAAGAAGAGTTTAATGAGAATGATATCGATGATAATACAATTGAAAAACATCATTGTTTGGTCAATGAAGAGATATCTATCAAGGATGATGTTATGGATGAAAGAAACATCAATGAAAAGATTAGTGAATCATTCTCCTTTGATATTAGCAATCCAGCGAATTGGGAAAATATGAATCAAAATTTAAGAAATTTAATCGTAATGAAAGGTCCAGTAAGAGATAATGATGTAATTTTTTCAAAAGATGTAGTTAATCGACACTTCTCCTCTGTTCATTACACTCGACAATTACCCAATGGAGAATCATGATAGAAAATGGTTGATATATTCAAAAAGTCTGAATAAAATATTTTGTTTTTGTTGTAAGTTATTCGAGAATGATGGGGTTCAAACTCAATTGGCACATGATGGTGCGAATGATTGAAAAAATATTGGTGAAAAACTTAGAACAAATGAAGTGAGTTATGACCATATCACTAATATGAGTAGATGGATCGAAATAGAAATAAGATTTCAAAAGAAGCAAACAATTGATAAAAGTGTGCAGGAACAAATCAATAAGGATGGAGAACATTGGAGACAGGTATTATTGAGAATAATATTCGTGGTTAGAACTCTTGCAGAAAATAATTTGGCGTTTCGTGGAGATAATGAGAAGATATACCAAGAAAATAATGGTATCTTCTTAAGATTAATTCAAATGATTGCTGAGTTTGATCCTGTAATGCAAGAACATATTCGTCGAATTCAAAATAAAGAAATTCATTATCATTAACTTGGACACAAAATTCAGAATGAGTTGATACTTATGCTAGCGGGCGAGATCAAAAAAATAATCATCGAGAAATTCAAAGAATCTAAGTACTTTTCTGTAATACTTGATTGCATTCCAGGTTTGAGTCACAAAGAACAAATGTCTATAGTATTGAGGTGTGTTGATATTTCAGCAAGTCCATTGAAGGTAGAAAAATTCTTTTTAAGATTTTTATTGGTGGATAATACATCTCGAAAGGGACTTTTTCATGAATTAGTGAATGCGTTGAATAATCTAGAGCTTGATATCGATAATGGTGCTAACATAAGAGGAAAACATAAAGGGGTACAAAATAGACTACTACAAGTAAATCCTAAAGCATTTTACAGTCCTTGTGGGTGCCATAGTCTCAATTTTGCACTTTGTGATATTGCTACTTATTGTACAAAAGCTAAATCTTTTTTTGGAGTGGTGTAACATATATACACTCTATTTTCATCATATACTAAAAGATGAATTTTTTTTAAAGATAATGTAAATGGTCTTACTCTTAAGCGTTTGTCTCAAACACGTTGAGAAAGTCATGTTGAAAGTATTAGAGCAATAAGATTTCAAGCTCCACAAATAATAAATGCTCTACTTGAATTGGCAAGAGTTGATGATCCTAAGATAAAAAGTGAGACGGAGTTTTTGGCAACATATGAAATAGAGAATTTTGAATTCTTACTTGGGATGGTTATTTGGTATGAAGTGTTGAATAGTGTTAATAGAGTAAGCAAACATTTGCAAACAGATGACATCCATATTGACGTTGCTATAGACCATTTAAAAGGGGTCATTTCATTTTTCAAAAGCTATAGAGAAACTGGGTTTGAATCAATCGTGATAGATGCTAAAGAGATTGTAAGTGAATTAGACATTGAACCGATATTTTATGAAAAAAGATTTATACGTAAAAATAAGCAGTTTGATGAGATTTTTTGTGAAGAGATGATAGAAACAGTTGAAGAAGCTTTCAAGGTCAATTATTTCTTATATGTAGTAGATCAAGCTCTATCATCGCTTCAAAATAGATTTGAACAATTTCAGGAATATGATGATAATTTTGGATTTTTATTTGATTTGAAAAAGCTTAAGTCCATTGATGATGCTACATTGAAGTGCCGTTGCATTAATTTTGAAAATTATTTGAAGCATAACAGAGTATCTGATATCGATGGAATGAAATTATTTTTTGAGTTGAAAGTTTTAAGGAAAGCAATATCTACATAAATTAATGGAGCAACTGATGTGTTAGATTACATTAATAGAATGAATTGTTGTTTTGTAAATGTTTGGGTCGCTTACAGGATATTATTAACTATCCCAGTCACTGTTGCATCCGCTGAAAGAAGTTTTTCAAAGTTAAAATTGATTAAGTCTTATCTTCAATCAACCATGTCACAAGTGAGGTTGAATGGATTAGCTATGATTTCTATTGAAAAAAATGTTGGAAAAACTTGATTTGAGTTGTTTGATTACTAATTTTGCATCTCAAAACGTGAGAAGACTAAATATGATGCTAACCTAATCTCTCGGATTGTAAGTGATATTTTATTTAGCAATTCTATCTTTTAGATTGTACAAAATTTTCATTTAAATATAGATATTTTTTTATTTAAATATTGTTATACGTGTTCAAAAAAAAAGTATGGGGTCTCAAGATTGCCTACTCGCTTAGGGCCTCCGAATTGTCAAGGTCGGCTCTAAATGCAAGTTGCATATTCTCTTTCTTTTTGGTTCATTGAACTCTGGAAATATTTTAGGCATGTATTTGCTTATTTTCAACTCATAATTTCAGGACGACATAAAAGATTATCTGACATCTAAGGGAGTTGAATGGGAAGAAAGTGCTGATCTAATGGAAGTGGCTTCTAAATGCGACATGGTTTATCAAACCGACGATTTGGAGAGAGAATCGATCTTTATGATGAAGCACGAGGCAAGTACATCGTGGATCCTGATGTCCTGAGAGTTATGCAGAAACGTGCTGTAGTGATGCATCCTCTACCAAGGCTAGATGAGGATAGTTTGTGATTTGTGCTCCACGGCATTCTGTTCTTTTCAATTACTTCTTCATGCCCTAAGTGTTTTGTGCTCTCGGGTTTTTAGAAAACCGTTGATGTGGATGTGGATGTGGATGTGGATGTGGATGCGGATCCAAGGGCCAGCTATTTTAGGCAAGCCAAAAATGGTCTCTATAGTCGAATGGCTCTTTTAAAGCTTTTGCTTAAAGGTTGGTGAGAGGTGAGTACTCAGTGGATATTCGAGTTGATTGTAGTAAAATGCAAGAATGGATTGGTTTAAAGGTTGAACGGGGCATAAATGATGCTTCTTCTTCGTTTCAATGTTTTATACAAATCTTTGTGGACAAATCTATTTCCAGTCATCTTCTTCACTGTGTACATTTTGAATGCATTTGTACCATTCGAAAAGTTCTTTTCGCATTATATTTTATCCGTTGTTGCAAGAAGTTCACTTCATATCTCCAACACAAAGAAAATGGTGGAACGGAAACAACCCTAGCCTCAATCCGTCCAACCTTCTACTTGCTTTTCGTATCCACGATCCCGCTTTCGTTTCTATTACAAGTTCCAGAAAAAGAAAAAAAATGGTCAAAATGTTGTAAATTTGAAACGTAAATCGTGTCTTTCCTTCATAATGAATAACCTCAACAAATATAGGAAAAAACATGTTTAGATGAGGAATTCAGAAACATCAAACAAAATAGGCCGTTGTAAAAATTAAATTTAAGATTACTCAAACCACGACATACAATGTAGGAATTCGGAGTTCAAAAAAAATTACCTATACTAACCGAATACTGATTTTCTCAAACAATTTTCATATGAGAAATAGGTTAAGAGAATTCGTAATCTAGATTTAAAACATGATGAAAATTTATAGAAGTCGACTTTATCACGGACGCAAAGTTAAATTCATCAATTTCACCATTGTTCTTTTATCGTATCATCAATTTCTCGATTCAAATTTGAATTCCGACATATTTAGCATTCTCAATTAAGATATTTGTGATTTTTTTCCCGATATTAAACAATTTAAAAACCCCTTGGGGAAGGAAAAGAAAAAGTAGGGCAAAGGACTGGGCTTGTACGAAAGCCCATTTGAAAAATATTGGCCCAGTACTAAACAAATACTCATGGATTTCAGCCCACAAATTAAGAAGTAACCTACGACGTCGTGCGACCTTCTGTCCTACAATTTGCAAAACCCTTTTCCAATTGGCTCCCCTCTTTATCTTCATTCCAGTGAATACAGCAGGTCTAATCTTTCTCATTCCCAGGTTTGCCATTTGATTAGCTAATTTGTATTATACATTTGATTTCTTGATGAAAATTTACTGACAAATTCCACTGCAGGGATAAAGCTTATAAAGAAGAACTATATGAGTGCTTTCAATGCTTTTAAAGCTAATGTTCCTGTAGCGTGGAGCTCTAACCTGTACATAGCCCTAGTGAGGGGTATTCCTGGCACCAGGAGGCTCCATCGGCGGACGTTAGAGGCTTTACGACTCACGAAATGCAACCGGACTGTCATGCGGTGGAATACGCCTACTGTCAGGGGAATGATCCAGCAGGTGTTATTGTGATAAAAATATAATCTTGGTTTATTCGTTCAGTTTAGACTGACTTTTTCTTTATGTTAATTGTAGGTGAAAAGGTTGGTTGTTGTTGAGACGGAGGAAATGTACAATGCAAGGAAACAGAAAGAAGCGAGTCACCGATCTCTACGTCCGCCATTGGTAGTCAATCATCAACCGATCCCTGGTCCAGAATCTTCTGCATAACAGCTAATCCCTGAATTATGAGTACTTCATTTTTGTTTCGATGAGCGTCCTTTTGGTTATAATTCTGTAAACAAAGATTCATGAAATTCTGAATCATGGGGATCTTAAACGTGGCCTGAAAGCTGAAGCATATTAATTTTCTCAAAAGGTAGTATTTCATATATTTTGGATTTACTTATTTAACATGTTCAAAGCATAGAATTTGTGTTTGACGTAGAAATGCTTGGTACTGCCTGGATCCAAGACAAATTTCTTCCTTTTGTATTATGTCTTGAGAAAGAACCAAATTAAAAAAAAAATGATTAGGTAGATAATGGTTTTATTAGAAGTTAAGCATTTTGGTAGAAGAATTTCAATGGTTTCACAGTCCAAAATCCTGATTAGCTGTGTGGCATTAACAGAGTTATATTTCTTTGTCTATCATGGAAACTTTTACTACAGAAAGAAGTGATGACGTAGCATTTATACGCATTGCACGCAAATTTCATTCCAAGCATTTTCCATATTGGAGAAACAGTAGTATTATTGTTTATGGCGTGGGCGTATTTCACACGATGACATATTAGGAATGTGTTTACCCGTCTTTTATCATGTTGGATGGAAAATTACTATCCATATGAATTATTTTCGTAAAAATCCTCTCTAAGTGTTCTTTACTGGAGAAATGGTAGGTAGGTCTATCTATCCATTTCTATATAACTCGAACTGGACAATGTTACGCGAACATTATTTTATTTTATTTTATTTTATTTTTTATTTATTTATTTTTTTTTTTACCTACTACTCACAATCAAAGGTGGGAGCCACATTGGGGATTTTTATACTCACGCGGGGCTCGGTGTATTGTGAGAGGGGGGACAACTTTCGGTATAAATAGAATTATTCTAACTCAAATCATATGAGAATTGGGGTTTGAGCTCTTTGCTTGATAATTGGATCCTGTTCCTAACTCATGCAGACAAATTTAAAGAGCTCTCTTATGAATCTAGCTTAAGATGTGTTAATCATCTCTCTAAAACTCTCTCATTCATCTTTAATCTGATGTTGAAGTTCTGAGTCTGGAAATATTCCAGAGCCAGCGACAATTTTTAGTGCGACAAGGTATACTCAATTCATGGCCTTTAGACTCTTATAGTTTGAAATCATCCATGCTACTTGAACACCAGGTTTATATCAGGTGTAGTTTGTACAAGAAGTTTGTCTTAGACTCTTATGGAACGTCAGGTTGGCCACGTTAAGCAGGATCGTTAAGATTTCAGTTTTATTAGTGTTAGTGACTGCAATCCTTGACAAACATTCTCTTCACAGATAACATAAGGTATACATTTTTTGTTCTTTTCTATTGTTGATCTACACAGATTTACTGCTCTGTATTATAAACAAATTTTCGTTGATAGTCAGAACTTAGTCTTTGGTATCCAAGTTTATATATTTTTTGTTTATAATGAGTTTAAAATGATCTTGTTTTCATTTTTGCCCAGTATGGTAGGTGGGGTTATTCTAACCAAGAAGCTCCTAATTATTCTCCAATTTCTCAACGAGAAGCAGCCTTAGATCGTACACCGTGCTTCTTGTTGGGAACCGTTTAACATTGGGTCCAGTTCTTTAGATTTGAATGTCTAGTTCAGTGCTAAACGGTGTTTTCAAATTTCAGGTATTTATAATTAATGCACCTTTTGCTTCATGCAGTGTACTATCCTATTTGCAGGAGAAAAAAAAAATGATTTAGCAATGAAACACTTCTAGTAGAAATCTAGTAGAAACACAACAGATATTTTTAACTCATTCCAGAATCATAGAGATTGAACCATCAATAGCTCGTGAATTTGATTTAATCTCATGAAACCTGTTCAACTTTAGTACTCGTCATGTTTGTCATCCCACAACAAAGTGTTGCACAGGTAATTTCTTTGCCCCACAAAATTTGGTGGACATGTGGATATTTACCAAACTTTCAGTAAAGGAATCTCCTATCAATAGATGTGTGGCTCTCGCTGAAATGGCACCTCTGTTTTCGAGCTTAGAGTTTGTGTTTTTCTATTTTTTCATCTGTAACTTAATTTCGATTAGGTGAAGTTCCAACGTCCTGTAATTCATCATTAAATTATCATACAAAAATAATTCTGGTTCAAGAATGATGCAAGAAAACTTCTCTCTTACACGTAGAATGTAGCGCCCTGTTTGGTCGCAACACCGCCCTGCTCCTCACCGACCAAAAAATGAAATTTTTTTTACATTCAAATGAAAGAATCAATAGTAAACTATCAGTAGTAGCCTGTCATCCCTGAACTCATCCTTACCATCTGGTCCCCCAACCAGTGCTCCAACTAGCACATTTGGGTTTGGATTTCGTCGTCCATGCCAGTTATCATATCTGTGTGTGCACCCAACAAATCCTTTGCTATATTTGCACGATTCTAAGGATGCACCCCTATGGCGTGTACGCTCTTAGGATAGTTAGGTCCATAACCAACCTGTTGAATTTTTAATACCCAATAAATCTCGAGTTATAATATTAACGTGGGTTAATATTATTTCATAAGCATAGACTCATTAATGAAATAAGTCTAACAACCAAGTCCATGAGTTACACTCGGTCCAACTATATTATTTCTTGGACGACTTGGATCTTGGCTCGTTTACCCTTTTAATGGTCCAACTTAAAACCTAACTCTAGAGTATATATATGACTATAACCCTAGCCACTTTCTTGTAATGTGTGGTTTTGAGAGAAAAATTAAGGAATCCTGGTTGCCCCCTTTGTTTGTGGAAAAAAGACATCTAGAAGTGTCCAAAAAATTTGTTTAACGTGTGCAATTGGTGGTTCCTTTGTAGTATACCTTTGTGGTGTCTTCTCTTAACTTTTGTGGCCATAAATTATCATCTTTTCTTGTCTTACGTGGATAAGATTGAATAAAAATCGAGGTGAATTAATTGGATGTGGTTTAGAGTCGATTGGATTGGTTGTTAGTAGAGAAAGGTACGTTGGACTGAGCTTGAAAATCATCGATTTGAAGATCTTTCAAGAGAGCTTCGGCAACTTTGGTATCAGAGCTTCAAGGTGGTGTTTTTGGCTCATGAAACATACCAAAAACCGTCCAGAAATAGGCAGAAACGAACCAAAAATCAGATCGAAAAAATTGTCAAAATCAGCCTTCGTTTTTCGCATTTTCTGATCAATCCGGAGGGAGTTTTGGGAAACGGAGACCACTGGCGTGACATGCAGTTTTCTATTTCAGGGTACGCAGTAGAATCTAGACAACGTTGTTCTTCGGACATTCGGGACTCGTGATTTTTTGGTTGCTGCAGTTTGCAGAGACTTTAGGACGAATAGTGGTGGTTCTAAAGTATTAAATTCGTGTGTCTCATGATTTACGGACTCATGTTGGTCCGCTCTGGTAAATTGGCTGAAACTTTTACATTATCACACTAGCAGATCATCATGTGGGTGATAATTAGGATTAGGGATTGTCATTGCTTGGCAACCATTGCTTGTGCTAGAAAATTTAGAAATTATTTGCTCTATTTTGAAGTGTTGAACTTTGATTGCAAGTTGGTTGTTGACTTTGTGCTTTGTCTGTCATATAGTTACTATGTGAGACTTGTTGAATAAAAAATTGAATTTTTGTTTATATACCTTCGTATTTGCATTAATTATCCCATTAGAACACTTGGACTTGAGCAATCCGAACATTCCCTTGATCTAAGATCGTGAATCTTACAAAACCCTGGGAATCTAGAACGGTGCATATTACGACCTTAAGATTACTTTGTGTGATCTATCCGTGTTTTTGTTGTTCTGTTTTTCTTAAAAATGTTTTCACATTTTGAATTTGGAATATTTAATGGGAAATGAGATTTTTCTATTTGGCAACAAAAGATGAAGGGTATTTTGGTCCAACAAAAAGTTTCATAAGTCATAGATAGCAAATTTAACAGAAACATAAAAAGAAGAGTATGATGAACTTGCATACACTTCAATTATTTTACCCCTGTCTGAGACTGTTTTGAGAAAAGTAGAAAAATTGGATTCTACAAAACAACTTTGAGAAAAATTGGAGACTTATATTTGCTTAAGTCTACTCCTAATAAATTATACTTGCTTGAATGATTTTTCAGCTTTAAAATATATCCTTCAAAGGATCTTGATGACAATCTGTATGTCTTTAACAAGTTAGTTCAAGACATCGTTAATTGTGATGAAAAGGTATCTGAAACGTATAAGGTTATTATCATGCTTAATTCCATTTCTAATTCATATAGGGAAGTTAAAAATGCAATTAAGTACGATAGGGACACTTTAACACCTGAGATTGTCATAGACTCGTTTAGAAGTAAGGAGATGGAGATTAAGGCTGAAAAAGAGGATAAGAAGAGTGGCGAGTTACATATGATGAGGAATAGGATGAAGTTTAAGCAAATGAATTTGGGTAGAACCCAAGACGGTAGTGATTGAAGTAGTGACTCGAGTGATGAGGATAGTAAGAAAAAGGGCGAGGGACGGGACAAGTCTAGTGGTAGAAGGTGTTACAGTTGTGATAAGTCTGGACACTTTATTAAAGATTGTCCCAAGAAGAAAGATAAGCTGAAGGGTAAGATGAGAGGTGAGGCGAATTTAGTTTATGGGTCGAGTTATGACCCTAGTGAGATTTATTGAGAGTAAACCTAGATACTGCATGTGCATCTGTGTGTGATCCTTTCTGCATAAGTTCGATTGCCTAAATTTTGTTGCATAATTCTCTGCTATATTTCAATGTGTTTGATATATGCATTTGCATGAATTTGAGACAACAGGATTACTTGGTGTAATTGCTTGCATCTATAGTGGTTAGGATGCATTAACAGTGTGTTGTGTGTCTTTTGATAAGGTGGAGTATAGATGTCTAGGGGTATCTGGTGGTTTGTACCGGGGATGTGGAGTGTAACATTTGGATCACGATTGGATGCATCTGTGTGTGATCCTTTCTGCATAAGTTCGATTGCCTAAATTTTGTTGCATAATTCTCTGCTATATTTCAATGTGTTTGATATATGCATTTGCATGAATTTGAGACAACAGGATTACTTGGTGTAATTGCTTGCATGTATAGTGGTTAGGATGCATTAACAGTGTGTTGTGTGTCATTTGATAAGGTGGAGTATAGATGTCTAGGGGTATCTGGT